CAAGTAATTGGCGGGGTCAAAACCCAATACGTATAGTTGCTGGTTAGTAGATTTTGTTGCCCCCCACCCACCCCTTCTTAAAACTTTTGATCAGATGATAGTTTCTCAACTGATAAACGTGGTTAAAATCCTTTAGGAAGTGTTGAGAGTTTTTCGATCCTTCTTACCTTCTTTTCTCTTCTTGTCCTCCTCAAAGTGAATGAAATGCCTGCAACAAAGACCTTTGGCATACTGCTAAAAATGTGCTGTTGTAGTAGGCTTTGATCGTAGTGCTGAAGACAGAATGTCATATGCAGCTCAGTCAGATTTGTTTTCATATATTGCACGTCCTCTAGCAGTTATGACTGGCTGGGAACTCGAGAATGGCTTCAGTGCAACCAAAGGGCTGTCTGAACTGACTGGCCTCAAACTTGAATGGAGCTCCAGAGGATGTTCTTGTCAGTATTGAGCAAGGTGTCAACGCATCGCAGCCGAACAGTGCACATTTATGAATGCAGAGAGGGCCCGTTACAAAAAATTCCAGCTGGAGAGTGTTGCGGGTGCTCCACGGCAGAACCTCACAGGGCAGCAGTTGGAGAGACAGAGCCAGACGATCCAGAAAAAGGAGCAGTCTGTTCAGGCAACGGTGTCCAAGCTTGACCACAAGAGAGAGAAGAAGGATGGTGAGCAGCAAACTTCAGTGTGAGACCCACACACCTTGGCCTTGCTCCAATCCTGTATCCATGAAGTAGCTATGGCAGTTAGGTGTCCCCAGCACGTGCCAGCACGGCCGTGGTGGGCATGCTGAGGCGATTGCCAGTGTTGGCTCTTGTGGGTATTGTACATCAGGTTCAAGCAGCAAAAGTGCGCGATCAGGAAAACCAGTTCCTTCTAAAAGTTGGTCTGTACAGGGTAGAGTACCCAGGTTAAGACGCATTGTGATGTGCTTGCACTGGCACATCTGCGTCCACAGGCTGCTGGGACTGCCCACCTTCACTGCGAATTACTTTCAGTATGACTGAACCGAACATGCTCATCGAGTGTCCTTTGTCGTGGTGGTGCTTGCAGCAACAGAAGTCGAGTTCAAAGAGAAGGAGGTGGAGTGCATGCAGGCGATGCATGCTCTGCTGAAGGATGCTACCAACCTTCGAGATTTCGTGGCGCAGTCCTATAAGATCCTTCACGAGACGTCGTTGGAGGCTTACCAGGGCTTTGTAGATTCTGAGCCGCAGTCTCACTCTTCGGCTTACCCTTCGGCTTACCCCTCGGCCACTGGCTCAAGTCCCACTGAAGTGCATCCCGAAACAAACCCCTTCGCCACGCCCAGAGGGGCTGGCCCGAGCTCGGCCACGCCTGTGGAAAGCCCACAGTCTGGTCGCAGACAGACCTTGGATAGTGAAGCTGCTGTTTGACGATGATCCTTGGGGCCCAGACCTGTTTGGGGACGAAGTGGCCGAACATTGACCGAACGGGAATTTTTTCTGACCTTGTGGGCCTCTCCTTGTGGATTTTGTGCCTAGCTTGCATAAGCAGAAGGAACACACAGGGCGGTGGATGGATGCGGACGGGTGACGGGCTGGTTGTTGCACTGCAGGAAGTGTACTTTATTTGTGAGATTATTGGCTGTGTTAATGCTGCTGATTGCGCTGCAATAGGAGCAGCGATGATTAAATGATGTGCTACGGGGGAATGCACGGGTGCTTAAAACTGGACACTGGTGGGGCCAGCATTGCGTCGGTGGGTTGGTTCTGGCCACCATAGCTGGAGCTTGGCATCGTGTGTAGAAAAACGAGATGCCGTGTGCTGCGCTGCTGCCACCTGGGCATGTCACGCGAGGTCTCAAGGCGTGGCTGTGACATAGCATTGTGGCGACAGGTTTCTTTCGATGTAGTTGTGTGTGAATAATGCCCGGGCCGCAGAGTTTCCAACGTCACGCAGTCGTCATTTCGCCGTGCACTCTCAATGTGGAGAGAGGACGGGAAGTTGATCGTGTTGGTTGTTGCTCACGCACGTGAACTACATGGGTAGAGAGACTGGATAGAACGATGCAATGGATATTTGTACGCCATCAATAGCAGGCTTCAGGCTTTCTCAATGGGCTCTGGGTGCCTTGAGGCATCTTTGTGTATGCAGGCGCAGTGTTCTATAGACACGGACTGAAGGAGGTCATGTATGGACAGTGTAGTTGTGCTCGTGGCAGCGTCCGGTGACGAATCGTTGTCTTGGAGGGTGCTTGACTCGCCTGAGGTGGCGGTGGTTCTCAGGGCTGGGCAATAATGTCATCTGCCTTTGTAGTTCGCAGGACATACATGAATGAGTGTTTGTTTCCTTTTGCAGCTGGTCAGCGGCACCGAACCTAAGAAGCATTTGTCTACGAAGAGTCCCGTGGCAAATTACACAATGGTTTGGCCAGCGGCGTTTATACCGCTGTAGCTGCAGAGAGAGTACCGAACTGATCGCCAGCAGCGTCAACCTGCTGGTTTGCATCCGCGAACTTCCTCTATCCATCCTTGTTGTGCTATGTACTGTATCCTTTCCGTACGAAGGACACTCAATGGATAGCCTGCACATCAGTGTTCCCCCCTTGGGCCACAAAGCCTCATCTGATAGAAGTCTGCATGACCTCATCGCCTTGACACCAGGAGCCCTGCATTCGCCGCCGTTCTTGCCATCCCGACGCAAGCACACCGAGGGCTTTCGCAGCCAGTCCTCACCACAGCCCTCTGAGACTTCGAGAACTGCGATGACCCGCCTGTTCTCAATCCCCCTTCGCCATGCCCTGCGGCCAGCTTTCCGTCAGGCCCACTTCCCACAGAGGATCCCAAGGAGCACATCCACCCTCCATCGATCGAGGCGCCTTTTTCATGGCCAGCCAAAATGACTGAAGGCAATGGCGACGCCGCTAATGGGCACAATGTCCAGCGAATACCACGTTCAAAGGGCTCCATGGCCGAAAGGGCTTATTCTCCAGTCGCGGGAGGAGGAAACGTGTTTGCTTAGTAGGCCTTGGGATTGCGCTTCGCCGTCGGCTCCCAGACTTCACCGGAAATGGCCCTGGCTGGTGGGTCACAAAACCCAAGACATGGTTTCGATGGGCCCACATCCCCATGATGCGGCAAATTGCAAGCGCGTGGATTTGCAAATCCACTTGGTGGTGCTCCAATTGGAGCACCAGACTGCCTCCAATACAGTACAAAGATGAAATTCAGCCGAATCCTAGCAAAACGTTGCTGCAAACTCTATCAAGGCAAACACTATTTTGAATTTGGAACGCTTAGCGTCAATGTGACGCTAAGCTCAAGCCCCCCTCTCCCCCTCCCCCTTTTGAGTCAATCCTTATTTCGATACCTGGATGACTGAGCAGCATTGCTTATGCAAAGAACGGCGGTCCATTCTGGCCGTCGTCCCTGGAGATAGCGCAGTAAAGCCGCCCTCAAACGGGCAGCTGAGCCATGTCGACAGCCTCAGCTCCACAGCAGTTGAGGGTGCACTCAACAAACAAGCTTCGCCCCTCGCTCGAGCCGGCTCTTCATGAAGAACTGCTTGGCACGCCACCCAGCACGACCAACAAAACAGCGGCGACGGCAAGGGGAAGCTTGAAGCGGGTAGAAAAACCCCCACTGCCAGCCAGCCATTTAAATACGCTTGTAGAACCTCTCACAGCTGCCGCTCAGAGTGCCCCAACCGGTCGCGACCGCTCCTCAACTGTCGACGAAGTCAAAACGGAGGTCAGGTCCACGGGTCAGGGCTGCCTTGTCCGCAGCACGTCGGTGTATGTCATGGGGAACGCTTCTCTCCGCCTCGACAAGGCTGTGCAGCGACGAAGGGTGGTCACTTCTGGCCAGCAGCACGACCGCGCTGGCACTGTTGGTCTTGAGCGGCAAGGAAAGCGGCTCAGAAAAGGCACAGACTAGCCGCGACCTTCGAAAAGGTCGAGCGCTATTGCGCTCAGGCTGTGGCGAACGTCGCGCACACGGCCAGGGGAGTCAGGCAGCCAGGCTGAGTGCCTAGACTGCCGCGAGAGACACGCAAACCCCACGCAACCGTTCTTACAGCTGCCAGGCCGAGTGCAACAATACAGAGTTCCCCTCGCGCTGTCCGCGCTCCTTTGGCAAAAATACCCCCATTCCTAAGAGATGCTCTTTTGATACCCGGAATCTTTCTGCCACGCCCGCTGCTTCACCACAACTCAACCCAGGACGCCCCACTGTCCACAATTAGCCACCACGTGTGCCCCAAGGGCCACATTCCCACCAAACAACCACACTTCCCCGCGGTCAGCAACCATGTAATGCCCCATGGGGCATATTCCCATCAAACAACTACGTGGCACCTCCACGCGCCCCTCCTGGCTCCGTCGCACCACGGTCCACGGCTGGCCGCTAGGCGGGCTGCCCCTAAACAAACGCACGTGTCCAATGGCAACCTGGGTGTTCCTCAGTACTCCCAGGCGTATTCGGGGTATGTATAGAGTACCCCTGATTGATGTTTTGGGGTGTCTGCCTCATTGAGCGCCAACTTTCTGGATGATTTTCTGTATGACGAAGGTGCTGAGGCTGTCGACATCCCCTCTGCACCATATCTGGACCTCACGGGTCGCCAGCTGAGTGATATCATTTTTTACTAACTTTTCTTGATGAGCCCCATTAATTGGCGACCCGAACACCTGACAATGCCATACAGCTTCAAAACGGTTTTGGGGGGAAAAACAGTCAAAATTGTAGCGATTGTGCGGATTTGAAAAATGGGATGCCAAAGCGATTACAGGCGGTGAGAGCAGCCCAAAAGCCTGGAAACTTACTCGTTCTAAGGACTACCTCGATGATTGAAAATTTGAGGGAAGTTTAGCAGCAATTTACGAAGTATTTGCCGCTGTTCAGTGGTGCTTTTATGCAGTTTACACTTGTGTTGATTTTAGTGCAATTACATAATCTCTTAGCGTTAATGGCTGGACCCCTCCCCCACCCCCACCCCACCCCACTCTTGACGCCAACTTGAGATTAAGCGTTCCAAAATCAAAGTAGTGTCTTTCCTAAAGCGGGTAGCACTAGTACGATCTTCGCCTGCTGTGACCGTGTTTTGCGACCCGCTGTCATCAGTCCCTTCTCAAACTTCCTACTTCTACCAATTTCAGCCCTTCTTCGGCCTCGATCCTTACGTCTATGCTGTCGATACCTTACGTACCGGAATCAATAGTCACAATACTTGAAGCGCACCACAGCAGGTTTGCTGTCTAAACAGCAACAGAAGAGACTACATTCTGTGCACACATTGGCGAATCCACTGACTCAAGTACTTTGTTAAGTGATGCATGGCATGCCCCTGGATCATGAGCGGGCGCCTTCAGTTTGCAGCCACCATCAGTACCTCGATGCTATGGCGCAGATGTCACGCTGGAGGTGGCTCACCTCTTGAACCCCAGCCACACGAACGCGTGGACTCGGGGGCTGTTGAAATCACCTCAAATCAAGGCCATTTATGCAACGGCCATTGACTAAAAAACCAACAAAAAAGGGTTGAAAAGAGGACAAAAAGGGGTGATTTCATAACACAGGGGAAGAAGTTTTCACTGAAGAAATCATGGGATAAAAGCTGCATTTATTAGGATTAGGGTTTAAGACTTTAACCACCAGGAAGCCATGGACCGAGGGTGGCAGCGCCATGGTTAAGGCATGGCGGCGCCATGGTTGGGGCGTGCCGGCGCCATGGCACAAGTATGACTAAACGACGTGCGAAGTACTGGGAAGGGAACGGAACCTCTTTACAAGGTTTTACCAAGTACAAGAATTAACTACGGTCGCCAAAATGCCACGTTTGTTCGCCTTGGCAGCGTGGACAGCGAACGGCCTGTCCGACTGAGACTACCTCTACATCAGGCCCAAGAACTGATTCCCAATATTCTAGAGCATGATCCGTGTCTGCAGCCTGCACAGCAGTGCACGGTGCCCGTCGAAGTCACACCGCCTGCTTGCTGTCAGACGCGGTGTCCCACGATGGGGTGTATGGACTATCGGAGGCATCGGAGTTGATGTCGCATCTTCGGAGGCGTACTGAGCGACGGCAAAGGCGGGAATACGGCTGCGAGAGGACGATGATACGATGTCGGAGGCTGCCGAGCTACAGACAGACGACCGGTTGACAAGGAGTTACTGATACGTTCAGTCAGCGATGGGATAGCGTCATGGTAACGTAGGACTGATCCTCGGGCAGGCAGGACTAGAAGTGACCAACCAATGATGAGCTGTCGAGGGTCGGAGCGTGACGGCGCCATGTTTGGGGCATGGCCAGGCCGTGTTTGGGGTATGCCGCCGCCATGCTCGGGTTTGGATCGAGGGATGATCTGATCCATGACAGGCGCACTATGATGTGTATTGGATGGGAAAGAGTCTTTTCTTAGTCGGAGTTGTACTGG